AACACAGTGAGACTCTGTCTCAAAAAAAAAAAAAAAAAAATCATGATACAGCAGTAAAAACTAATACAATTAAAACAATATGGTATAACTATATAGTGTATACATTGTATTAGGTAATACAGGTAATCTAGAGATGATTTAAAGTATACAGGAGGATGTACATAGATTACATGCAAATGCTCTGTCATTTTATATCAGGGACTTGAGCATCAGTGGATTTGGTATCAGAGAGGGGTCCTGGAGCCAATCCCCTAAGGATACTGAGGGATGGCTGTACCATCAGTTGGGGATTGGGGCTTTACCATTGTCTGGATGTTTGTGTCCCCACAAAATTCATATGTTGAATTCCTAACCCATAAGATGATGGTTTTAGGAGGTGGGGCCTCTGGGAGGTGATTAAGAGGCCAGAATCCTCATGAATGGGATTAGTGCCCTTATAAAATAGACCCAGGGGAGCTGAGTCACCCCTTCCTTCCACCATATGAGGACATAGCAGGAAGCTACCAGCTGTGACCGAGGAAGTGGTTCCTCACTGGACACCAGATCTGCCAGCATCTTGATCTTGGGCTTCTAGCTCCCGAACTATGAGAAATAAATTTCTGTTGTTTATAAGCTACCCAGTTTGTGGTATTTTGTTATAGCAGCCCAAAAAAAGTAAGATAGGTTTCAACATACGTCTTTTGGAGAAACACAAACATTTAGTCCATAATAGTGGTCTTTTTTGTTTTTAACCTCCTGGACTTTATCATTTTTATAAGATTCTGTCCAACTTGCCTCTTGGTAGGTGTATTATTTTCCTACAGCTGCTGTAACAAAGTACCATAGAATGAGTGGCTTAGAACAACAGAAACTTGTTGTCAGCCCTAGGTGACCAGAGTCATGATGTTGCAGGGCCCTGTTCTCAGAGGCTCCAGGAAAGAATCTGTCCTGGCTTCTCCAGCTGCAGGCAGCCTCGCCTCAGGCCTTCTTGGGCTTGTAGGGGCATCACAGTGGTCCCGTGTAGGGAATAGGGGGGCTTATGGCATGGTTGGGGGTTGGGGATGGCAGGTGCCCACTGTCTGTCGCTGGCCAGCCCTCCTGTGTGCGTGAGGAATGGAAAGGGGCCTGGTCCAGGGGTGCGGGGCAGGAGTCCCTCTTTATTCCTGCGGGGCCTGACCGGCTCCCAGGCTGCATGAGGTGCTCCTGAAAGGGCTAGGGCCCTGGGGCACTGCCTGGTTCCGGAGGGAAGCCAGTGAGGAGAGTGAAGGGGCAATTTTTGGAGGGGTGGTGGGGAGATGGTGAGATGATGGTAAGATGGTGGCACTGGGTGGCTGCAGCCCTCTCAGGACAGGACTTAGGTGGTCAGGGTGGGGGATTATCAAGAAGGCCTGTGCTAGGTGTTGGCCTCCAGCCTCTGCGCCTGTGTGGAGCAGAGGCAAGACTGGAATGTGGCACTGGCCGGCCCAGGCTGCTGGGGGTGCGGCAGAGTGGGGCCTGGGGAAGGGTCCCACTTCCCAGGTGCAGCTTCCTCAGCCCCACGTCTGACCAGTGGCCTCCCTGGCCTGGGAAGCACGAGGCTTCGCGCCTGGTCTTGAGGGCTCTCCAGAGGCTCTGGGAGCTCCTGCTTGGCTTCTTCGGTTCACTCCCGGCTCCCTGCAGCCCCCAGGCGGCCGGCCCTGACCCGGATGGCTGGCAGGGCATGGCATCGACCCGGATAGCTGGCAGGGCATGGCATCAACCCGGGTACCTCTACTCAGCCACGTGCTGGCCCAGCTCCCCGGACCCCTCCTCTGCCTTTTCAGACACACCCCTTTCCCTGACAGCTGCAGGGGACTGAGACCCTGTCCCTTTGCTGAGTGAGTTGAGGCCACTCGGCCTGCCTCGGTGCTCCCCCCGCCACCAGTGGGTTTCCTAAATGGAGGTGCCGGCAGCCCTGGCTCCTTGGCCTTCAGGTCTTGTTATACCCACACACCAAGGATGGGGTGTTGCCAGGGGCTGTCTGGGATGCCGTGGGGGGCACTACAGCCTGGCGGAGGCTGTGGCAGCTCAGGAAAGCAGGGTGGCCGGGCAGGCACAGAGGAAGGGGAGCCCACCTGAAACCTTGGCGGATGGGGCGGGCATGCTGACCGCCTTCCCACGCGGCAGCGTCTCCTCTCTTGGCAGATGAAGGGTGCCCTGATGGAGATCATCCAGCTCGCCACCCTCGACTCGGACCCTTGGGTACTCATGGTCGCGGACATTCTGAAGTCCTTTCCTGACACGGGGTCGCTTAACCTGGACCTTGAAGAGCAGAATCCCAATGTTCAAGATATTTTAGGAGAACTTAGAGAGAAGGGTATGTTGTATGGCTTCAGTTGATGTTGGGAGGAGGGAATGGGTCTTCCTTTAAGAACTTTTTTCTAAAATGAATTTGATTTTTAGAGTGTTAGATTGTTCACTGTGTAGTGTGTTGTGGTTCTTAAAATGCTAACCATACATACACCATCCCCTCTCTGTATGCCACTGCCTGGCTTTTTGCCAGTCTTTGAAAAACAAGCTTATAACAGCCAAGACCCTCCTCACTGTTCCTGCTCTGCCTGAAAGTGTAGTTTTTTGTTTTTTGTTTTTTTTTTTTTGAGACAGAGTCTCACTCTGTTGCCAGGCTAGAGTGCCATGGCATCAGCCTAGCTGACAGCAGCCTCAAACTCCTGGGCTCAAGCAATCCTCCTGCCTCAGCCTCCCGGGTAGCTGGGACTACAGGCATGCGCCACCATGCCCGGCTAATTTTTTCTATATATTTTTAGCTGTCCAGCTAATTTCTTTCTATTTTTTTTTAGTAGAGACAGGGTCTCGCTCTTGCTCAGGCTGGTCTCGAACTCCTGAGCTCAAGCGATCCTCCTGCCTCGGCCTCCCAGAGTGTTAGGATTGCAGGCGTGACCCACCGCGCCCGGCCATGAACGTGTTGTATTCACTGTAGTTTCACACTCGCTGTCTCTACCTGACCAGCTCTGTGAGGGGAGGGGCTCTGCCCCTTCAGGTCGTATCTCCAGAGCCTAGAACATTCCCTGGCCCAGAGTAGATGCTCAGAAATGCATGTCGAAAATATCAGCAATTAAGTAGTTCAGAATGTGAACTGAAAACCATTTAGAAAATATTTTCAAGTGGTTTTAAAGAACATATAATGATGGGATAGTCTGTGCCTTTTCTGAATTTCTCTCCTGCTTTGGAGGATTGGAACTGGCAGCCCCTGTGAGATGAAACCTTGTGCCATGGCTCCTATGAGGAGGAGCACCCAGAGAGCTGGCCAAGGCGCGGAGAAGTCAGCCTGACTCTCTCTCGCCTGCGAGGTGACCACTCTTGCACTTTTTAGGTTGTTACTTGATTTGGTTTTTTTGTTTGTTTTTAAGGCAGAGTCTTGCTCTGTCACCCAGGCTAGAGTGCGGTGGTGTCATCACAGCTCACTGCAACCTTAAACTCCTGGGCCCAAGTGATCCTCCTGCCTCGGTCTCCCAAATAGCTGGGACTACAGGTGCGCACCACCACACCCAGCTAATTTTTCTATTTTTTGTAGAGATGGGGTCTCGCTCTTGCTCAGGCTGGTCTCAAACTCCTGCCCTCAAGTGATCCTCCACCTTGGCCTCCCAGAGTGCTGGGATTATAGGTGTGAGCCATGGTGCCTGGTACTTGATTTGTGATTGCACCACACAGGTGTTTCTGGAACATGGTTTGGATGAGTCCACCCACCCTGTTGGAGTTTCTCTTGGGGGCAGGAAAGGGCTGATCCCCTGGGAGCAGGAAGGGCAGAGGGTGGTGAACTCATTCTTTGCAAGTCTGTGTGCTTTTTCTCAAAGTCGTTTCTGTAATGAATTTGGGCAGCAGGAGCTTCCGTCCCTCTGTGGGGTTTTTCTTGAGGCCTCACTGCTAGGTGACCTCACAGACCCAGGAAACGTATGTGGCCCTCAGCAACACTGAGGAGAGACCACCAGCCTGGGGCCTCATGGGAACTGGAGGAGAGATGCCACAGATGTATTCTTCCTGTTGTTTGGGGCCATGTTTGGTCAAAATCTCATGATCCTAAATTCCTAAATGCATGAAGCTCCCGCCAGAAATAACTATTTGTGTACACCTGTGTTCTCAGACACCAGTGGTGCTGAAGGCTCACGGCTAATAGACCAACAAGATGTTCCTTGTTCTTTCTCCCAGGCATTTCTGTTTCTAAGCAGCCCCCTGGGGTTCTGATGAGCCCACCCCTGGGTGGGACACCTATCCTTGCTACCTGGCCCACTTGGATAGCCTTGGCTCCTGGGGGTGGTGGGTTTGGAGCAGCATGAGTTGGTTTGGAGGCCCCAGGGGACTCAAAAACAAAGCAGGAGCTACCACAGCCATCACTAAGGAACTTGTGTGGTGGGGTGGCCTTTTCATCTTAGCCGTGAGCTTTTTAGCCAAGGCCACCCATGCAAGGGTGCTGTGCCTCATAACCATTATGTGGTTGTCTCCATGCAGTGGGCGAGTGCGAAGCATCTGCCATGCTGCCATTGGAATGCCAGTACTTGAATAAAAATGCCCTGACGACCCTCGCTGGACCCCTCACTCCCCCAGTGAAGCATTTTCAGCTGAAGCGGAAACCCAAAAGTGCCACACTTCGGGCTGAGCTGCTGCAGAAGTGTGAGTGTCCGCCGCCTTACAAATCGCACTTTGTATTTCTAGTGTTTCCAGTATTAGATTTCTTTCAGATTTTAAGGTACTGAGGCTTCTTTTCAAGAAGACAGAGATCAACATTACATTTTTCGTTAGAAATTTATTTATCAATGTACTTTAAACTGTGTGTTCTGAAAATGTGTTCTTAGAAACTTCAGAATTTCTGGTTAAGGTGGTGTCTGCAGTCTCTGCTACAAAAATGAACTCTGTACCAGCCAAGTCAAGCACGCTGTCACGTGCAGTGGGTAAGGGACTGGGAGGCTGGCCCCAGCTTCTGTGCTGGAGGAACACTGTCCTTAATCTCATATCTCTACCTTGGTCTTGAGTTGCCAGTGCTCTTAATTTGACTTTAAAGATATTTGAGAGGTGGGAGGATTGCTTGAGCCCAAGGAGTTGAAGACTAGCCTGGACAACATAGGAAGACCCTGTCTCTACAAAAAATAAAAACAAAAAAGACTAGCCAGGCGTGGTGGCACTTGTAGTGCCAGCTACTTAGGAGGCTGAGCCAGAAGGGTCACTTGAGCCCAAGAGTTCGAGGCTGCAGTGAGCTATGATCACATTACTGCACTCCAGCCTGGGCGACAGAACGAGAACCTATCTCAAAAAAGAAAAAAAAATCTGACCATTTCATTTAATGTCTTCCCAAACAGCATCTTATAAAATGTATATAGAAGATGTTTGCTGGGAAAAGGGCAAGGAAATTGATTCCTCTAACTAAATAACAAAATACAGATTTCAATGAACTTTTATTTTGAATGGCCATTGAATTAATATTTACAACATATATGAACACTCTGTTTTCAGAGACTCTGAATAAAACACTCATAGTTGCTGTGCGTGGCTCTTGACTGGAACAGCAGCACCCTGGGTCCAGTGCTGTCCTGGTGGCTTATGGAGCCACAGGGCCCACCGGGTAGCCTTTCAAAGTCTCCACTCAGTCCCTCAGGCCTGACCCCTAACCCCACAGCAGTCACCTGCCCTCCTGCAACAGAGCCTGGTGCTGGGCTGTGTCCTTCTGCATCACAGCAGCAGCCCCAGCTCTGCTGCAGGCACTTGGGTCCTGACCCTCCAGCCTTACTGAGCTGGAAAGTCTTTGTTTCTTCCTCATACGTGTGCGTTGGTGACAGGAAAAACCCTAGACTGTGCCTGCTGACTCGGCGAGGATGGTGCTCCAACCGGCCTGAGCCCAGGGAGCCCAAGGGTCCCCTCCTGGCCTGTGTAGAGGTGGAAAGTCCCCTTGACTCCTCTGCTACCTGTTTCCACCCAGTCTCCCGGGAGGGGCAGCTGTGGCCCCAAAGCTGCTGGAACAAACTTACAGGAACAAGGTGTTCACACAGAAATCTAGCCGTGGTATTAGAACTTGTGCTAGGCTCTCAGCGAACAGATGAATACTTAACTAAAAAAAAATGAAAATTTTTACACGAATACTTCTAACTCATCCTTTTTTATAATTCAGACTTACTGAGGTAGGATTGACAAGGGTGAGGGCACTGCTTGGATGAATGCTCACACGCAGCCTTTCCCTGACAGCCACCGAGACGGCCCAGCAGCTGAAGAGGAGCGCGGGAGTGCCCTTCCACGCCAAGGGCCGGGGGCTGCTTCGGAAGATGGACACCACGAGTAAGGCCGCGCTCACCCTGCCCCACGGCTGCCGCTCGCTCAGACCTGAGATAAAACACACAGGGCCATGAGGCTTGGCGCAAGTCCAGCCTGCTTAAGGGCCAGAGCTGTCTGTTGCTTGTCAAATAGGAGGGTTTGACTTAAAAAACACTACCTTTCCTTATCAGGAAAGTCACATAAATGCTAAAGTTGGTCAGATGCCAGCCCTGGTGAGCGTATAGGAAACAAGAATGACGAACTGTTTTACGAGCTTCTCCACTGGGACAGGGACCTGGGAGGAAGCATGAACATGCTAAGTTGGGGAAGACCAGAATTTGAGGGAAAATACTTGATTTTGTTCCCCTGCTGTCTACAGTGGCTGTCGCAGGTGGGGCTGGCAGGGGCAGGTGTAGGCAGACTGGCTTTTCCCACCTTTCCTGGCTTGGCCTGCTGTCCCAGGTGCTGTTCCTGTGCTGCGCATCTCCCCAGGGTGGGGAGAGCCTGGAGATGGTGGCGGCCTCCTCACGAGCCTGCAGCCTGACGGGCAGAGAGGAGATGCACCTCGGGGTCCCCACCCAAAGCACTGTCCTTAGACCTGCACCTTCATTTGTCCTCCATGATTTGTGCTCACTGCCCTCAGGGTTGGGCACAAACTTATGCAGAATGGAGGACACCGATGACAAGAAAACGGAGTTGTCCCTGGGAACTGTGGCAGGGCACACACACCTCCAGAAGGTGCTGGGCTGGAGGCCGTCGTCCTCCAGGGGACAGCTGGGTAAACACACGCCCAGTGGGGCCTGCCCTGCTGGTTCATCTGGAAGCTTGTCCACCAGGTTCCCATAGTCCCAGAGCGTCCGTGTGAGGCCTGATCAGTCAGCCGGGGCAGGATTGGGTAGAGGGGAGGGCCGTCCTCAAGTGTGTGGCAGAGGCTTGTGTGTTGAGAGGCACAGAAGGAAGTGAAGGCCCAGAGCCCATCTGCACTGGTGCAACTCCATGTGTGAGAGAGATGCTGCGGCTGGAGATGTGACTCCTGTTTTTGCTCGGTGTCCTTGGCAAAGATGTCACAGGTTGACTGAAGCCATTGCTCTTATGGGCAGGCTGACTCTTCCCTTGGTTGGCTGTAGGGAGAGGGCCAGCACCCTAAGGTCCAGGGGCCCAGGTGTCCTGGCCAGCTGTTATCTCCCTCACCCCCTGCCCACAGAGATGCAGCAAGCCCACGAGAAAGAGGGCTCATGCCACTGGCACCACAGCCTGGCGCTTCATGGTGGACTCACAGGGCTGTGTGACCGGGCAGGCGGCATCTGAGCTGAATGTCCTTTCCCCACAGTGGTGCTGGCAGGAACAGCCTTTGCTCATGATAGAAAAGGGCAGAGCACACAAACTGGCTCTAGATGAGCTCCCTCCTGTCGTCCTCCCCTGGCAGCCCCATCCTGGGTCCCCTGTGGTGTCAGGGCACTGGGGGCTCTTGCTGGCCATCGCTGTGGACGGGTGACTGTGTTGCCGTCTCTCCAGCCCCGCTCAGAGGCATTCCGAAGCAGGCGCCCTTCAGAAGCCCCACAACGCCCAGTGTCTTCAGCCCCACTGGGAACCGGACCCCGATCCCACCTTCAAGGACGCCGCTGAGGAAAGAAAGGGGTGTGAAGGTGGGCCCGTCCCCTGGCTTCTGCGACCCCCCCCCCCCCACCAGATGAGCCTCACTTCTTCGCGTTGTGATTAAGTGTGGAGTTATGTTTGTTTTGGCAGCTGCTGGATATTTCTGAGCTGGATATGGTTGGTGCTGGCCGAGAGGCGAAGAGGAGAAGGAAGACGCTAGGTGCGTGTCCTGGCGTTCTGTCGGGGTCTGCAGGGGGAGGGGTGGCAGTGTGGACCTGCTGTGGCCCGGCTCTGCCTCTGCAGTGGGCAGGGTGTGTGGGCGCTTTCTTGGGCAGGGCTGCCAGCAGGTGATACAGGGCCAGGCTGCGCTTCCTTGGAGCTCCTCTTCCTTGACTGGCGGATACCATTTTCTCATCATGGCAGCCTTTTTCCTCTGCCTGGGTACTCTTTGGAACTGTGATCATGAGCCGAGCCTGTGTGGACACTGGTACTTTCTGTACTCGGAGGCCTCTGGGATCACTAACAAGGATCCCAACTTTGTCAACAGATGCAGAGGTGGTGGAAAAACCAGCCAAGGAAGAGACAGTTGTTGAAAACGCAACCCCAGACTACGCGGCCGGCCTGGTGTCCACACAGGTAGGGTTCGGTGCAACGTGGCCATGGCACCACCAGCGTCTGCCCCCAGCACCCGATGGAGCCAGCGTGTGTTCCCTCTGGTTGCGATTGCTAGCTACTAAAATGTGTTCTGAGAATTTATATGTGTGTGTGTATATGTATGTACTATGTGTGTGGGTATGTGTGTATGTGTACATGTATATGAGAGGCAGTGAGGGCCACAGGGCCCTAACATGGGTATCAGACTCAGGTTTGGAACAACCACCTGCCCCACACTTACTAGAGGGGTTGCCTGGGGAGTCTCCACAGCACTGTGCCTTGGTTTCCTCTCTGTCAAGTGGGGGTGGCAGTGCCTGTCTTGCAGGTGGCTGTGTGGGGGTGGCAGATGAGGGTTGGGCCTGGGGATGCTGGGTGTGGAGCCTGTCCAAGATCTCAGTACCCAGAAGATCCCAGTCTTGCCTGTGGGCGGGGAGGAGGAAGGACAGCAGGGAGTGGCTCCCTCCCCGGCGTGTCTGCGGGAACAGCGTGGCCTTGTGGAGATGGGGACGGATCATCAGCATCCCTGGACAGGGCTGTGCCACAGTGACTGTTTCTGGATAATAGGCTTCTTTCTTCCCGTTTCATAGCCATGTTTTCTAACTTTCTTAGAATGAGGATGTCTTCTTTTTATAATAGGCTTTTGTGGTAAGATAAAGCATTATTAATTTTCTTCTTTCTTCAAAGATGGTTGGTTTAGGAGGTTCCCTAAGCAGCTCCTTCTCTGTAGACAGGAGCAGCTCCTACTCAGGGGGCTAAGGGGCAGGAGGCCAGAGCTGGAGGCTTGGGGTCCCATTGCCCAGACCAAGGGGGCTTGAGAGAGCATCCCCACACTGTCCTGTTCCAGTGCTGGGGATCTTGAAGGAGCCCACACAGCCGGTGTCCAGGGTGGGGGAAGCACACACTGAAAACCTGGCCTCTTCCAGGAGGGACCCTAAACTCTGTCTTCCAGAAACTCGGGTCCCTGAACACTGAGCCTGCGCTGCCCTCCACGAGCTACCTGCCCTCCACGCCCAGCGTGGTTCCTGCCTCCTCCTACATCCCTAGCTCTGAGACCCCCCCAGGTGAGTAGATAGCAGGCTGGGCAGAGTCAGCCCCAGAAGCCCCTTGCCAGCCCCTTGTCTGGAGTCCTGAGGGTGCTCTGCACTGGGCCCACTCTCAGGCCAAGCTCCTGAGTCAGTCCAGTGTGTCCACCAGAGGACGGTCTTGCCCAGGGGGAGCTGTAGGGGATTGTGGTTCTCACTTCTTTGACATTAGGGTGTCTGTTCTGTTGCTTTCCTTCAGCCCTTGTGGGTCTAGGGTGAGAGCCCCTGCTGGCCAGCACAGGTTTCAGGAAATAAACCAAAAGCGTTGATCTGCTTGGCTCTTCCTGGGAGGAATTGGGGAAATGCCACTGTGGGCTTTACAGGAAAGAGAATCCCGGTCTGGGGGTGGCTTCTGCTCAGCCCACCCAGTGACTCCAACTCTTGCTTCCGGGCAGGTGGGCCTCCCTCGCAGGGAGCTGTGAAGGAGGGCACTGCCAAGGTTACAGCAGTTCAGGTGCCAGGGCTCCCTCACAGTCCCAGAATTTGGTAAAGAAAATACCTAAAGAGAAGTTGAACTTGGGTTAGTAAATTCTGTTCAGGCTTTTGCTCCAAGCTCAGGAGCTTGGCAAAGCAGTGGGGTGACTCACTTTGGGATCAGGCAGCCTCTTGGGGCCCCACATCTTGTCTGTGAATCTGGAAAGGCCTGAGACCACTGGCTCTGCCCCTCCAGCTGGGGTTCTTGGCGCTTGTGCCCCTGGCCTGGCCAGTATCTCTGGGTGCCCTAGCTGGGGGCTGGGGAGGGTGGAGCAGGTGCATGGGACAGAGGGCCCAGAGAGCAGAGGGTGGGGGTCCCGCCCCATAATGTACCCACCTGGCCTTCCTCACCAGGTCACACTCTGCCTGCAGCCACATCTTCCCGGGAAGCGAGCCTGCAGGCCAGCCGGCCACCAGAGGAGCCCAGTGCCCCAAGCCCCACACTGCCAGCACAGTTCAAGCAGAGGGCACCTATGTACAACAGCAGCCTGAGCCCGGCCACACCCACGCCTACAGCGCCAACCTCACCTCTAACACCCACCACACCCCCAGCTGTCGCCCCTGCTGCCCAGACACCCCCGGTGGCCATGGTGGCCCCACAGACCCAGCCCCCTGCCCAGCAGCAGCCTAAGAAGAACCTGTCCCTCATGCTCACGGTAGGTGCACCCTGGTGGGGCCCGCAGGCCACCAGGTTGATGGTGCTGCTTGGCCACTGCACCTGGGGTGGGGTGCTGCTGTGCCTGCAGGTGGGAGCAGGAGGTGGCCCCTGGGGGGTCCAGGCATGCATCTGCTCTCCCCCTTGTAGAGGGAGCAGATGTTTGCTGCCCAGGAGATGTTCAAGACGGCCAATAAAGTCACGCGTCCTGAGAAGGCCCTCATCCTGGGCTTCATGGCAGGCTCCCGAGGTATGTCCCTGTGGCCAGGCCTGGGTGGTACCCTGAGTGGGGTAAGGGCTTTGTGGCCCAGGCACCCACCCAATGGCCCCTGTCCCTACAGAGAACCCATGCCAGGAGCAGGGGGATGTGATCCAGATCAAGCTGAGTGAGCACACGGAGGACCTGCCCAAGGCGGACGGCCAGGGCAGCACCACCATGCTGGTGGACACGGTGTTCGAGATGAACTATGCCACGGGCCAGTGGACACGCTTCAAGAAGTACAAGCCCATGACCAATGTGTCCTGAGGGCTGCCTGCCCCACTGCTGGCCTTGACCAGGTCTCTAAGGGATGACAGCTTTGCTGGCTTCCAGCAGCCAGACGGTGGACACCCGGCAGCCTCTTTGTTTTAGATCCATTTCTCTGGGGTGTTTTGGGCTTTTTTTAAATTTTAATATGGGTTACTTTTTGTGTGATTTAAGATACTTTTTTGAATTCCATGTTACATTTTTGAATGTCAAAACTAACCAAAAAAGTTAAAACGTCCTACTTCTAGTGCCAGCTCTGCCTATTAGACTTTCACCCTTTAAAATTTTTTCTTTTTAATTAATCCCAGCGACCTGGAGTGAGGGCTTTTCCTTGCTAGTGCAGCACTCTCCCCACCCCACAAGGTTGAGGGGACCAAAGGTGGTGCACGGCAGTGCTGGGGACGGGGTGGGAATGGCCCTGACTGTGCCGGAAAACAGGAGACGATGGGCTTCCTCCACCAACAGCGCCTGCCTCAGAGTTTTATATTTGTCTTTTGTACAGTTGTGGACACTTCAGACAGTCTTTGGGTACCTATTTTCATTGTAAAGCTATCTGAATAATTAAAGTTTAGCTTTTCTAAAGAATGCCCCCGGAGCTGTGTTTCAGGCCAGCTTGTCCTCCCTGCTCCGGGGGCTCCAGCCCCTCCCTAGGCAGCTGGCAGGTTCCAGGGACACCTAGGCCCGTAAGGTGGGTAGTGGGTAGGATCAGCCAAGGGTCACCCGTTGACTTGGGGGCTGTAGTCAAGGGCTCTTTAGCAGAGAAAGCTTGGGGACTGCTCTGCTCAGCCACCTGCAGGGCTGGGGAAAGTTAGCTGTTCCTTCTCTCCTGACCATTTCACCATTAATGGGAATTTGGGAACCCATTTTCCACAGTCAATTACCTCTGCTCTTTCCAGTATTTGTGTACTTCCCAAGGCTACACCAGCCTCTCTCTGGAGGGTCAAAGGTGAAATGACAGAATCTGAGGCTGGGGAGCCCCTCCCTAAGGGAGGGGTGTCACCACTCTGCCAGATGCCTTGGAATTCAAAGTAACTGGAAAAGTGGGGGAAAAAATTCAAAACACAGTCCCGTATAAAATAAGTTAAGAAAAAAGCCTTTAAAAATTCTTTAATACAAAAATACTCATACACAATTTTCCAAACACAACTTTCCACTTTAAATGCTATTTTCCCCCAACTTGCAATTCTCAAATCTATATTTCAGTATATCCCCCCACCCCCCCAAAAAAGTGAATTTCAAGTTTTTAAGTCTAACTATCAGACCTGGTGATAGCACCCAGTATTCTTAAAAGGAATCTGACCTTACTTTGTATGAAGTTTAGACACCAATAGGCACATTTAGATTTATATTTAATTTCTGAGAGGGCATTTCACATCTCAACAGGGTATGGTGACACGTGGCGCCCAGCAACAGGCATTTTACTAATAGTCATCAACTACACTCATAGAATCAACATAGTGGCAACTGACCATCATTTTGTGTTAACTTTAATTAAAACAGGTTTGCCTTTAATTCTTGAAGACAAGGTAGTTATAGAAGATGGGTACTGTACATGTCATGGTTCAGATGTCAAGATAAATACTTTGGACATGTCAGAAGCACAAACCTGAGTGTGCACAGGACCTGGGTGGGCATTACTGGGGACAGGGCCATTCCCAGAGATGAGACAACTGGGTTCTCACCACTTTGGGTGGCAAATTTCCCCACAAGAGACCATGTTTAATAACTGCCCAACTGAGCGCACGCCCAGTGTGAGGCACTCCCATTCCCACAGATGCACACGTGCAGAGCTGCGGCCTGACTACTCATATGCACGGGTACAGGTTTAGGTGCAGATCCTGGTTGGTTTCTGATGCCAAAGAATCTTGAGGTGTTTGGGCAGTTTTTGTGTTTTGCTTCCCATTAATGACAAAGGATTGAAGCTGATGTTTAGAAAGTCACAGGTCCTCAAAAACAAATCTCCCCCGGACTCTTAAAACAAAGGTGGGCAGGTCAGAACACCGGCCATGTCCATGGTCACGGCTGGATGCCTGGTCAGCTCCAATGGGGAAAGGCCCTTCAAGCTTGGGGCCGTTACCCCAAAGCTTTGTTTTACTCTGGTTTATAAACTGGTATTCTAAAGATTTTCAAAGTTAGTGTTATTTGCTCATTAACAGTTTTTGGAAAGGGGAAGGAACCATATTTAAAATTTTTGCAGTATTTCCTTCAGAAAGGTCATAAAATAATTTGGAAGTATTATCAAAGTGACTCAAACACCCTAAGATTTTACTACTGTCAAACACAAAAATAAGTTAATCTGCTCCCCCAAAGTGCACTGCAAAACCAATTCCGATGTTTTGACTTATGCAGAAACCCCTTCACTGGTAGGAAAGGATCTCTTAGACAAGTGACAGCATCTGCCCACACCTGTCAGAGGGGCCCCTGGGGCCTTGGCTCCAAAGGCCTGTCACTGCAGCAGCCTTCCAAGTTCAGGGCATAAGGAGCATATACCTGTATTGTAACCAATCCAGTATTTTCTGAAGACAATCTGAGAGAAGTTAGAGTTCTAAACTGAGAAAGGACTCCCCACTGCCTGTCTTACCAGACGACTGTGTTTCCAGAGGTAACAGCCTACGCATGGAGAAATCAGCTGACTGCAGAGCTCCTGTTTCCTTCTGGTACCTTTTTGTTTGGGACCATGACAAAAGGGCCAGCGGGATGGCCACCGGTCAGTAGAACTTCCTCCCACAGTTAGTGCTTTGGGGAGGTGCTGAGCCCCATAGGTCCTCACACCTGAAACCCAAGTATGCAGGTCACAAACCCATGTAGTCAGTCTTAGGTCCAAAGACACACTGCACTTCGACAAGGCAAAAAAAGATAACATGAAAGAAAAGGAGACCTCAGTAGCAGTTTTCAAGGATTCTGTAAACTTTCCTGCAAAACGGATGTTCTCCTTATTTTAAGAAAACGCCAGAAAAAAAGCAGCTGCTGCTGAGTGTTCTACCCCGCCCGCCCCCCCACAAGGCAGCCCCTCAGGGTGCACATGCCTCCCCCCTTCCCAGGGTGCTCCACACTTCCCAGGGTCAAGAGGAACCCCCAGAAAAGAATCAAGTCTTCCAAGAGTCTATCAGAATGTAGTACTTGGATATTTCTGACTCTGTAGGGCTGGACCTTTTAATAACTAAAAGATAATTGAAATCTCACAGGGAAGTGGGTATCAGACCTGGCTCAGAGCAGGCGCCCACACGCGTGCACCTGGTGGAGAGCAACTGAGATCGGCACGATTCAATGTTTCTAGTAACTGACCCACAGAGTGCTGAGGTGGAAATCGCTTCAGATGATGATAGCTCGAAACTGGGTCTCTTCAGACCACGTGCTGTGTCCCTTGAGGGGTGGTGCCTGCAGGGCCCTTTGGGATTCCCTAAATTACCACTCCAGGCAGACTGCAGTATCACACCCCTACCAAGATGACTCCTGCCTCGGGACTCAGGGCCGCACCAGTAAATACACGTTTCAGTCGGTGGTGATTTGTGGAATGGGTTTAGCAAAAATATATTGAGAATAAAAACCAGAACTAGTAAAGAGAAGCCAAATGAAAAAAATATATATAGTTTTCCCCCAGATGTTGATAAGAGTTCAGAAGATAGGCCCAGGTGGGAAGTGGCACGACCTGGCCAGGCTGGGAAAGGCTGCGCTGCATGACCTGCACTCTGAACGTGGACAGGTTACTGGCATTTAGTTCAAATCCATGAAGAGAAAAGGCTACAGGAGAAAAATCTTACTACAACACTATCACTACCACCATCTGCACGGCCAGCTTCTCACTAGGATGGAAAAGAAGCATTGAGGAAAAATTCACATTAGTACCAAAAAACAAAAAAAACCCCAGCTGTTTCAAAAGAGCAAAATAATCAAAATCATGGTTTCCAAGGAATCCAGGGTCCGAGTCCTTGCACAGGCCCACCCTGGTCTCTCCTGAGTGATGACAACGCTGTAAGCGGAAGCGGAGTAACATTAAGGTCAGAGTTAATAGTGATGCTTTAGAAAAAATACTATTCTATACACTTCAGATGAGATAAAAAACATTTCATATGCCAATTAACTTTCAATCATAACTTTAACCTAAAAAAATAGAGTGGGAGGGAACCTTGACATTCTTAGAAATTCAAGTGTTGCTGTAATGCTGTGTAGTAAGGCTGGTTTGTCCTGGAACGCCGAGCTGTACTCTGACGGTCATCAGTGCAGACGCAGCGGACGCTGCTGAGGATGGCTCAGTGGTGGGCAGGCGCTCCCTCCCGAGGAGGCCTATGCATCTGTCCTGGCTGCCGTGAGCTGGGTCCTCTGGGCCAGTCCCATGCTCGCCCTCTCCCTGCAGGCAGGGCTGGCTGCCCCACACCGCCCCTGGATCTGGCCAAGCTGCCACCTGATGCTATTTGCCTTCTGTGACCCTCCGCCAACACCTCCTTTTCTTCCTCTTCCCCTTTGACTTCACTGGTTCTGGAAAGGGTTTCTCAGTCTTGACACTTCTGACTGATTCTGGCCCCAAGTCATGCTCACAGCAGTAGGACTGCCCATCCTTGGTAGAGCTGAAGGCTGTCCCATCTTGGTGTTCCTTACAAAATGAATTGGGGCAAAGGTGGCAGAACGAAGTTGAAGGTTTGCCACACACATCACAATGATGCCAAGGACACTCCCACTTCCCTACAACAAAACACAAGATATTAGCAGACAGAAGTGACAGGATCAGAACTTTAACAACACTGCTGGGTGCAGTGACCAGGGATGTATGGACGGGGGCCATCTCCTCCAGCTGCCCCAGCAAAAGGTGTGGGCTCCCTGGGCAGAGCCTGTCCACTCCAAGTGCCCACCAGGCTCCTGAGCACCAAGTATTGGCTTCTCTTATGTTTTGGCAACTGACTGAGAAGCTGTACTGGGAGCAGGCCTGTCCCACCAGCCCTGAGTATGAGGCAGGGGCACTGCCCTGCTGTGGGTCACATGTCTACTCAGGGCCCTGGCCTCCCCCGTGACCTGCCTATACCTAAGACTGATTTGCTACCTGGGTATTGATCTTTCTGGCATGAGTTTATAAATGTTCTTTGTTAGGTTAGAGATAACTCTATTACATCCATTGCAAATATTTTTCTCTGTCATTTGTCTGTTAACCTTGGTTTGTCATCATTTACCATACAAAAGGTTTTTTGTTTTTCAAACATGTCTGACTTCTCTTTTCATAGTTTTTCAGTTTCTCGTCTTTGGGGGAAAGCCTTTTAATTTTTCTTTTGAGGTTACGTCCCCCATAACGATGTTTTAGTCGACAGACTGCATTTACGATGATGGTCCCATAAGATTATAATGGAATAGGCTACACCATCTGGGTTTGTGTAAATATGCTCTGTGGTGTTTGTACAACACTGAAGTCACATAACAGTGTATTTCTCACAGTGTATTCTCTTCATTAAGTGACACATGACTATCGTTACTATTTTCACACTGAGGCCTATAATCTCTCTGAAATACATGGTGCTGGTGGAAGGCAGAGCCCACTCCATTTTCTTTCTAATAGAGAGTGAGATCTGCAGCCCCATCATCAACCAGGGGCTCCGGGCCCCTCCTTTCCAGGTGGGGTGCAGCCAGGCCAGGCCCTGGGAGACGGAAGCCGCCGAGGCTGCTGCGGAAGGCCCCTCTTCTGGGAGCAGCTCTGCTCCCTGGGCCACCTCCTTCCCCTACCAGTCCTCATGGACAAGGGGGCCAATTCTCCAGTGGGGCTCAGGGGCTGTCCCCTGAGCCCCTCCTGGAACAGGCTCCACCATCACCACAGATATTTGCTCAATGTACACATCTAGAACATGCAGCTGGTGGAACAAAGAAAGGCTCCGCCACCCTGGACTTCCACTAAATGACCAGCACATTTGCGACCAGATGAGGCTTGGTCAGCAGAGAAGAGCAGTGAGAGCTGTCAGGAGCCCATCCCACAGACGGCCTGAGGCTGCCATGGAGCTGTCCACCTACCGAAGGGCCGCTTGCCCAGGCCCAGGCAGGACAGGTGGTAGGCCTTGGTGCAGAACTTGCGGTCGCACAGCACCAGCTGGCCACCATCGCCACAGCGGAAGCACTCGTCCTCGGACTGCCTCTTCCCTTCCCCTTTTGCTCTGCGCCGCCTGGTTTTCTTCTTGGTCTTTCTGCCCTTTTCCTCTGAAGAAAGGGATGTTGAGGTCTAGAATTAAGAATTAAGCACAGTTCACTTAAGAGGATCACATAGACTGAGGCGGTAATAAAAAGCAAACTATGAAGAGCAAAGAGCCAGGTTAAGCACAGGAGGGTCAGCGCTCTCTGGAGATGTTCTAGCACTAGGAGAAGAGGGGAGGGGCATGCCCCATAAGGCGGCTCTTCAGACACATCCTTAGACTCACTGGACTGAATGTGAAAAGGCTGAACTTAGACTAAAACAGGCATAAGCCTTGCCAAAAGCCCTCCACGATAATGCGTGTTAGCAGCTGGTGGCTGACACCTGGCTCCTGGACCCATGGTGCAAAGGATGCCTCAGCAGGAAGAGTGACTCCCACCTGCCTCCTGGGCTCTCTTCATGAGGAATCTCACCAGTAACATGGCAGCAGGCAAGTGGCAGTGACCTGTGAGTATCACCAACACGGGCAAGGATAGATACCAGTTCAGAGAAGGGATTGGTTGTACTGGGTGCAAGAGTATCCCCAAATTCATGTCCTTCCTGGAGCCTTGGAATGTGGCCTTATTTGGAAATACGGCCACTGCAGATGTAATTAGCTATGGGGTCATACTGGAGTAGGGTGGGTCCCTAATCCAACATGACTGGTGTCCTCATAAAAAGGGAAAATCTGCATATACGTGCAGGGGGAGAATGCTGTGTGAAGATGAAGGCAAAGGCTGGGTGATGCTTCTACGAGCCAAGGAACACCAAGAATTGCCAGCAACCACCAGGAGCTGGAAGAGAGACCTGGAACAGATTCTCCCAGAGAGCCTCCAGAGGGAGCAGAGCCCTGCCCACACCCTGACTTCAGTTTCTGGCCTTGAGAACTGCGAGACTAGATTTCTGCTGTTCGAGCCTTCCAGTCATGGCATTTTGTTACGGCATCCACAGGAAATGAATCCAGTGAGGAACTCTTAACAACCAGACCACTCTGAGAGCCCACCGCAACTGCCAGGGGAGTGTGTTCCCTGCTGTGCTCCCCACCCCTGCTTGTCACAGCAACATAGAAGTCCCTGCTCACCAGAAGGCACCTGCTCCCAGATGTCTGGGACATACACAAGAGCTGTATGAAAACTATGACCTTACCTTTGGTCTATCCCCGAGGAATCCACTACAATTAGAGGCTCCGCACCGACAGACCGTTTTTTCATTGCCCAAACAATCGAGGTTGTAATTAAAAGTCAACTCCGTCCCTGGGAGAAGAGGAGACAAATACCATATTGGAAACACTTAACCTTTTTAAATAAACCTACGGAACTTGCACTAAGTCTACAAAATACACTGTTATTTTCCTATCTATACTGGCATAACCCATGGCTTTCAATTTTGCTTCATAAAATAGATACTCAAAACAAAACTTCCACATTACTATGTGCCTCCCCCAGAGCCTTTCCAGTCTGGCCACACAGCTCAAAGCAACAGCCATTCTGCCTGCCCATGTGGCCAGGGGCCCCCTCACAGAGTCTCCAGGGGGCTGTACCTGCAGGAATGTCGCACACGGCAAACAGGCCCACTCGAGTATCCCCGTTCACTGTCCACTTGAGGGTCTCGCAGTTGGGCTGGCAGCTGTGGTTCATAAACCGAGAATAGTTTCCTTTGGGGCCAGCATCAATTATACGGTCCTGTGAAGTAGAAGTCAAGTTACGTGTGTGGCCAACTCCTAGCAATTACATGTCATTTTTAAAACTAATTTCCATTGTCATAAGATACACTGGACAAGCAGTTTGTCTGTTGTACTGAAAACTGTGGTGTCCCATGTCCACTTGGGCAGGACACCCCCAAACCAGTCCTGTTTCTCTTGCTCATGGAGGGCAGGTCCGGACCACTTGGAGGGGACCGAGCCTTAGTGAGCGCCAGTGAGAATGGACGGTGAACCGGCGCTCCCAACGCCATCCTCAACAAAAAACAAGGAGACAAGAGACATTAGTGCCACAGATGGCCAGCACTGCCAGCCAACAGAAATGTGCATTGACAGACGAGAACAAAACTAACCCGACTAAGACCTGGGCAAAGGATATGAACAATTTCCAGAGAGCCAACCTAGACAGACAAGCATAAGGGAAGAGGTTAAAATTCCCAAGCAGTTGCAGTTGAAGAAATGCAAATTAAGATGACAATAAGCTCTGACTTTGCATCCATGCTGCTAATGTCACAATGGCTGAGAGGGGGGCCACAGGGCTGGCAGGAATGGTTTTGGGAAAGCAACAGCAAGAGCCATGAGAATCACAGATACAAGTACACTGTGGTCCTGGGAATTGACCTGAAATCCAAGTGCCTGTATGGAAAAGGCCATTTTACATCTACCGTGGCAAAATCCAGAGGCAATGCCACTGCCCAACAATGGGCAAACGGACAGATCAAGCACAGCTTTGCCCTCCTCACCCTAGAAGGATCTAGGTTGACCATGCCATTGGGTGGGGTCCCTACCCTGTGAGGGGAGGGGAAAGTATCACAATTATGACTTAATGCAAAACCTCAGGGAGAATGGGGATAAGTGTGTAAACACAGCATCTGTAAGCTATATCCTGTGATCCCAGGAGGCAGCAGGCCTAGGAGCCACTGTTCACACACCACCTCCTGTGATGCGCCTGCACCCTGCCCTGGCACACACCTCCCCAGGGTACACCCTGCCCAGGATTGACCGGCCTCTGCACATCCTTTCTACACTCCCACACTGGTTGTTTCTTTAAAAATAGAAATGGCATCAGAATGTGGTTGCTCAGCACCGTGTGCTATTTACTGCGCAACATCAACAATCTAACCAGAGTTTTGCTTTGTTCGACAGCTGCACGGCATTCCTGAACACAGATGTGTGCTCTGCTGATGCTGCATTAAGCTGTTTTTCACTTTTGCTGTGACAGTGCTACTGTCACTGTGCTCATGTACACGGGGGCTACTTGCACACGCATTTCTTCAGGACACACTGTAGGATGAGAGTGGTAAAGGGCACACAGGCTGGACAAGCTGCCAACATGCTGGCCACAGCAGGACGGCCCCAGTCCTTTAACGTCCCAAGAGGCCCACAGAGTCTAATCTCCACTTCTCAGGTCATCAGTGAGGTTCAGGCATCCCTTCCTTTTTATTGGGCATGTATATTTTTTTCATCTATGGATGGCCCACCACGTCTTGACCCCATTTTATTTATCTTTTTCTTAACTGATTTACAGATATTCCCTACATATTCTGAATATCAGACCCTTTTAACTATGTGTGAAAAACTTTCTCATGTGCTAACACTTGAATTTTAACTTTATAGTTAAAAAGTAGACAGTTTTCTCACACAAATCCATCTCAGTTCTATGAAACTATTTTTTTTTTTTTTTATTTTTTTTTTTTTTTTTTTTTTTGAGACAGAGTCTCACTCTTTTGCCTGGGCTAGAGTGCCGTGGCGTCAGCCTAGCTCACAGCAACCTCAGACTCCTGGGCTCAAGCGATCCTCCTGCATCAGCCTCCCGAGTAGCTGGGACTACAGGCATGCGCCACAATGCCCGGCTAATTTTTTCTATATATTTTTAGTTGTCCGATTAATTTCTTTCTATTTTTAGTAGAGACGGGGTCTTGCTCTTGCTCAGGCTGATGTCGAACTCCTGACCTTCAACAATCCACCCACCTTGGCCTCCCAGAGTACTAGGATTACAGGCGTGAGCCACCGCGCCCGGCCTTATGCAACTATTTTATCAGTCTTGCTTTTACGCATCTGGGTTTGCCAAGTAGCAAACATCTTTCCATCCCCCAAATTATGAAATATATCTCCCAAACTTTCCTAGCTTGTTAATCTATCTGGAATTTATTTTTGTAAGGGGTGAGGGGAGACATCAGTGCTTGCTAAGTGGCTACCCTGGCCCTGGCCTCATCCCTGCCCAGCACCCTGCCATCTGCCCTGGGCCCAGCCATGCTGTTTTCACAGGAATGCAATGGGGAGCACATCCTCCCACCTCAAAGCTTTAAGATAAAGCATTCACTAGTCTTGCAGATTTATGCTTCTATATGGACTTTGAAATTGCCTGTCGAGGCTTATTTAAAAATTGTTAATATTTTTACTGAGATTACAATGAACTTACACTTGGGAAAATGTGTATCTTTATGACATTTCATCTCCCAACCAGAAACAGTGTGCGTCACCATTCACATCATCTTTTATGTCCTGCAGTAAAACTACAAAGATTTTTTTCCACAAAAATTTGCTCCATTTACACATGTACACTTACACATTTTTTGCAGTTTTGTGCATGTGAAAGGAGGGTAGAGGGAAGCCCTGCACTTGGCCCGTAACTCAGCTTAGTTGTCTCTGTCTCCAACAGAACCGTCAGCCCCTCTTCCTTCACTGCTCACTCCTTCCTCACTGTGCCCCCGGCATCTGCAGGGGTAGCACAGGCAGGAGCAGGGAGAGTCCTGTCCTGTTTCTGAATCTAGATTGATGTCTGGCTCATTGTGAGCATAAAGCAGGCAGCTACTTTGAGATCCTTTATCAAGCTAAGGAAGTGTCCTTTCTAGTCCTGGTTTCTTGAGAAATTTTCATCAGAAATAGGTTTGATTTTTTTCTCAAATAATCTTTTGGTGTTCATGAAAATGATCCTAGATTTGTTTTCCTCTTTTACCTAATGACTGGGTTTTCAGCCATCTTTGCAGTCCTGGGATAAATCCCACCTGGTCACAAGGGACTTCTTTCTGTGCTCTCCAGGTGCACCCCCAGAAGGCATGTGACGCTCTCTCAGTTCCTGGGACCCACTTCCATCTTCCCTACTGTGCTCACACAAAAATCCACTGCACTGGGCTTGGAATGAAAAATAAGATGGCACCATTTTGTGTGTTCATAAAAAATGATTTACTTATTATTTCTATTATTTCTGTTTTCTAACTTCTAAATTTCTGCTACGTCTTTATTTCCTTCCTCCAGTTTATTTGCTGTTCTTGGCAGTCAGTGATTAATTCATGCTAATTATCTGTACAGGATCTCTGCCTTCAACTAAGAAAGGTAAATACGCCATGTCATCGGTTTGTTCATTTGTCTTTCTCTTGTCTCTCTCCTAACGGTTGCTGTAGGAAAGCCACTGCTGTGCTCTTTGGGGCACACAATGGGAGAAGCGTCACCCCTGGTGGTGACCGCATTATAAAAGCCTTCCTTAGTATCACTGGAAGTGGTAGGGACTGAATCCTACTGTCTGAGAACAATCCCTTTTGACTTTACCTGGCATACCTTTGCCCACAATTTTACTTTTAACCTTTCAGAATCTCTGTTTCTTACATAGAGAATTAGGTTTTGTTTTATGAATCTAGGAGTCTTTTAAGTTAACCCATTTTCCCTTTACAGATATGACTGATGTGTTTGTTGGGCACAACACTGGCTTATTTCATTTTTTGTATGGGTTTTCAGCCTTTCAAGGTGAAGTAGTGGGGTTGATTTTACTGTCCTGCTATGTTGAGACCTGTGTTTTTCCCTACGGGCTGCTCTTTATATGATGCTCCAGCATTTCCACCTGCATCTAAAATCCCGACTGCCTCTCGCAGCAGTGTCCACTTGCCCACATTATGGCCAATAATAAAATTAGCCTGATTCCTCCTCCCCTCAACCTACCTTCTATCACCCAATTTTAACCCGTACATTACCTTAATGTTGACCTTTATCCTAACTATGCCTAAATTTCTGCTCCTACCCGACTGATCAGCCCTGTGATGTTGGAGATGAGTTTGTCCTATTGCCTCCCCTCTCCTCCTGTTTCC